TATATGAAGGACAATAAAGGTGCAGTGAGGCCCTTTCCTACGTTGCTGGCAGGAAAGTGAACTGATTCATCTGTTCTGTAAAATAGTTCAAACTCCAGTACTGCAAAAAGAAAAAAAAAAGTAAATTCTAGGGTCAGGGATGTGGCCCAGTGGTATAGCATTTGCCTAGACTGAACAAGGCCCTAGATTTGATCCCTAACACTGGAAAAAAAAAAAAGAAAATCAAGTTGTGTTTTAGGTTGGGTACATATTGATATTCATTTGTTAGGAACACTATATTAAACTGTTTACTGTGATGAACATGAAGCCTTTAAGACTTAAAATTGCTTTCTCCTTATCAGTTTTCTTTAGAAGTCTTTACAAAGAATTTAACATTGAGTATTTAATTTTACATTACAGATACTGAAAAATATTTGAAGGAGTAAATTGTAATTCCTTGAAGCTTCATTACTACTATAAAGAAAACTTTACTAAATCTCAGTCACTGACCACATTCTGTTCAGAGGAAGAGTTCACTACCATTAAGAAGGCATGTGGAGTCAAGCTCCTGGTCCACATCTAATCCTGGCTACTCAGGAAATGGAGATGGGGAGATCAAAGTTCAAGGCCAGCCTGGGCAAAAAGTTTGAGACCCCCACATCAGCCAATTAGTTGGGTCATCCTGGCTACACTGAAAGTGTAAACAGAATCACAGACCATGGTGACCAGGCATTAATGTGAGATCCTATCTCATAAATCAAAAAGAGATGGAGAGGGCAAGAGGTGTGGGTAAGGTGGTAGGAGTGCCTGCCTAGGAAGCTTGAGGTCCTGAGTTTAAACTTCAGTACTGCCAAAAAAAAAAAAAAAAAAGAGATGGGGATATGGATCAAATGGTAGAGCACCTGCCTAGCAAGTGCAAAGTCCTAAGTTCAAATCCCCAGTACCACCAAAAACAAAAAATAGGTGTGTGCATTGTTACTGAGAATTATCTCTAGAGTGACATGAGGGAACATGTTTGTGGGTCATGCTTTACTTTGAACTGGAGATAGTAATAACTATAGAGATAAAGAAAATACACACACACACACACACATATATATACGTATATATATTTTTTTGGTACTGGGGTTTGAACTCAGGGCCTCATGCTTGCTCGGTAGACTAGGTAGACGCTCTACCACTCCGCCAAGGCTTTTTTGTGTTGGGTATTTTTGACATTAGATCTCATAAACTATTTGCCTTGGCTGGCTTCGAACCTCAATCCTCCTGATCTCTGCTTCCCGAGTAGCTGGGATTACTGGGGTGAGCCACTGGTGCCTGGCTGAGATGACTTTTTAAGGTAATATCATGAGCTACTTCATTCCTTTACTGGGATCAGAGGAACCTGTATAATGTGACTGCTTCTAGGTTGATCCTCCTCAGACTAATATTGGCTCTTCTCTTAGAATATTCTTGGTGCTAGTATAGAGAGTCACTATACATCTTACTGCCATCCATGATACATTTGAAAACTTGTAGAAAGGTTTAAGACAAGCCTAGCAGTGAATGATGTCCTATAAATTCAGGTCCATTTCATACTAAAATAGAAAGGTCACTAAGTTGTTTGCTTTTTTTTTTTTCATTTTTCTTTTATTATTCTTATGTGCATACAAGGCTTGGTTCATTTCTCCCCCCTGCCCCCACCCCCTCCCTGTTTTCTTTGCTTTTAATGTTACATTTTTTTTTTCATACTTTGGGAACCTTGTACAGAGCCAAAGTATAGTTGGACACTGTAATACCTAAGACCCAAGGGATATTCATTTTCTTTGGCATGTGATACGCTGCTCTTTTATCTTGCTTGAAAAGATAAAAACCTAGAGTAATCCTGCTGAGATTCATATCAGTAGCTCTAAGGGACTAAGGTATTTCAAAGCTGTTGTATAAATGGCAAAACCAGTTATCTTACTTGGGTCAAGCTAAACGTATATCTACATAGCTTCATTAAAATCTGATTTGCAGATATTTGGTACAAAGGATTAGTTTTAAAGTTCTGCTGTCAAATTCATCTTTGAATATCTGAGAAATGCCTTTGCTTTGTCACACTGCAGCTAGCTCAAGCTGTTTTTCAAAGGTCAATTTAAAAGGCAGAGGCCTTAGTGCCAGGACTGCTTTAAGATAAATAGCTAAAGAGGGATCCTGCAATAAAAGGTTGTGAGTTTTTTTGTTTGGTTTATTTTTGAGGTGTCATTCCATTGGGGGTAACATATACACATATATAAATCATAGTTCTTGGCATAAAATACGAAATTGTTGACACAAATAGGTTTCCTGTACAGGTTTTGAGAAACTGGCACTCCTCAAAATAATAGTTCAAGCAATGTAGTTTTTGTTAATGGCACTTTGTGACTTGCTGCAAGGACCTATTGTTGATGAATATTCTGATAAAAACAGCTTCAAATTGGAAGAACTTGACCATTTATTTTATATGGTTACTTTACTAAAACATATTCTAAACCAAAAGCCAGGATGATGACTCATACATTGCAGTAATCTGTTTTAGGGTGAAAAAAGCACTTTGCATAGGATTTGCTTTCTGGTTTATTAGGCTGTTTACCTTGAAGTAGTGCCTGCAAACAAGGCCTTTCAGCAGTGCCTCAGGTTTTGGGGTTTGTAAACCAGCAATTTGACTTTTCTCCTGTCTCTACACTGTTAAAAAAGGGCAGCATAATCCTATAAAAAAATCTCTTATTACCCCCACCCCAAATCATACGTTTTAAAAGCATTTGGGTTTTTGGGGTTGCTTAATTTTTTTGAAACAGGGTCTTGCTATGTAATATGACCCAGTCTGGCCTTGAACTCCAGATCTTCCTATCTTACCGTCTCCCACCTGATTAGAGATAGGTTGTGTCACAAGGCACCTGAGCCTCATCTCTAACCCTGCGGGTTTTTTGGGTTTTTTTTTTCCATGTTTATCTTTAAACATTTATTGATTTTAAGGGGAAGGTTCAAAATGATCTGGAATATCGCAACATATTTTTCTTCTTCCTAAATGATTTCTGAAAACAATACATTCATTAGATTTCTATGTGTGATGACAGCAGTCATGGTAGCAGAACCTCAGTACACTCTTTGTTAGATATTCCACATAATATATCTAAGTAAAATCAATTTCTTTTGGAAAATTTTACTTTAAATTACAGTTAAAATGTAGTTTAAATTACAGCTTCCATATGAAAATGGAAGACACTTGGATAAATTCTGGTGGCCTGTTTACAATATAGTTCTTGCATCCCAGGTTTTTTTAGGCTGAAATGTAATTTCATTGAACTACTGCATTACTGTAATAAACAGTAGTTCCCTTAGAGTATTAATTTAGAATTTGCCCACTTTCAAAAATGAATTAAAGCAACTATTATAAGGCTGTTATTAGAAAAGGTATTTCAAATGTTGCAGAACACAGCATACTCAAGTATTTGGCTTAACAACAAAATTTTGCAAGCATAAAGCTGCACTACAACATGGTGGCAAAGCTTTTCTTTGCAGAACAGTCTGTCTGCAATTCTTACCTGATAGATTCTTTTCTCATCCTCAGTCTGAGAGTACTTGAGGGGAAAACACTAAAAGCAACTAAAATGATTAAGCAAACTTCTCTTACACAGAAATTATTGTATGCCAGAAGTGCTTTATGTTAACTTTTCAGCTAAAGGACACTGAAAATAATTATTGGGGACTTAAGTTTTTTCTCAGGAGCTTTCTGGGGAAGAGAAAAAGAAGTCAGATCTCAAAAAGATGAAAGTAACGGAACTAAACTGTTTTACCTTTATTGTATTGGTGCTATTACGAAATATTACATCTTATATTTTATCAAGACATACTGGGACTATTATTAATTGATAATCAATGCCGTAGATACCTTAATGGTGTTGGAAGACCCGAGGCTCTGGTTTTGAAGTGCTCAAATCTCACACTGCTAAACTACAGGCAATCATGTCCAGGTGGTCCCTCTGAACTACAAGGCTAATAGTTTAATCCCTTTCCTCCAAGAAGACCCTTTAACTTTTACCCATCACCCTTCATCTAATTATCTAAATCTTTGATACTCATAGTTTGATTTGACTACAAACTCCCGCTAAACCCAATCCTTCAGCATTATTTCCGATCCTCAGATTCTCTAACGCCAAACCCATATCTCAGCTAGGCAGATGCAAGTCCGCCAAAATGTCCGCAGAAACGCTAGGAAAGGCCATCACACGGCCAGCCTGAGATCTTCACAAATGGCCCTCACCGTCCTTTGGGCTAATCATCTAAGCAACACCCGCAGAGAATAGTGTTTCTAGTTGGACTGCGCGCTGAGCTCTCCACCGTCGGAAGGTCGAGTGTTGAAACCCCACTGCGATCCCTCTCTGGGCCCAGCAACCACCCACTGCATGAAAGTAGGCGGGGGAGGAGCACTGCGGCGAAGCCGTTTCCCTGAGTCACCCAGCGGGCGGGAGGCTGGGCCCACCTGCCCCCGCCGTAGCCTCTCCGTCAGGCCTCGGACGAAATACGCAGGGCCCTCGGGCGAGGAAGGCCGCGCCCGCCATGCCTCCAGGCGGCCCAACGGCCACCTCATTCCCAGAAGACGCGGCACTCCCCTAACACCCGCGCTCCATTCGGGCAGCAATCAGCCGGCCCTTCCCTACTAGCATCACGTGCACCAGGAAGTGCGTGGGTGGGACTTAAAGCGCCTACGGAAATGACGTCGGTCGCCCTGAGTCGCATGATGTGGCAAAATGTTAAAAAAAAAAAGGGGGGGGGAGGAACACGGAGAAACCGAAGACCAGGGAAAGTGATGAGTCTAAAAAAAATAGTCCCTAGGTCCCTCTATTTCCCTCCACTCGCACCAGTCAGGGACGCCTTCAGCGCACTGCGCCCCGAATTCCTACGCCCGGCCGCGGCGCGACGCTCCGTGGAGGGGTACATAAGGCGGAGGCGTGAGGTGACTGGGCGGAGTTCTGTCGCCGGGATCCTTCCGCAGGGCTCAGCCGTTTCCGGAGTCTGCGCTGCGCCCGGTTCCGCCATTGCGGCTCTCCCGGCCCCTGGAGCCTCCGCCCCCGACCCGAGCTCTTTCGTCTGCCTGCCAGTTTCCTGCGTCCCCGGAGAGTATCCTGCTGAGCCCAGCTTTCCCCTTCCCCCTCTCCTCCTCTCCCTCGGAGAGCCCGGGCAGCCACTGCCCCGCAGTCCCAGTGACAGGAGGAGACCATACCCCCCGACAGCGCCATGGCCCAGATTCTGCCAATCCGTTTTCAGGAGCATCTGCAGGTGCGGCTGGGCCCGGGCTGGTGAGGGCCTTGGGAAGGGTGGTGAGAAGGAAGGAAAAGGCTGGAGTCTGGGTCCGAGCAGGAACGAAGAGAGAGGTGGTGTGGGTCGGTCTTTGGGGTAGACGGAGGAAGGGCTCGATCATGGAAAGCTTTAAAGGGCTAACTGATGTGAGACTTGCTTGGGAATGACCAGTCGGAGTGCAAAGGGCGGCGAGGCCAGACCTGGGTTAGAAGGCCTCTGTCTTGCTTCCTGGATGGCAAGAACTGAGCATATTAAACTTCCCCTCCCCATTTTACTCTGTTCATTCATTTGAGTGGGGGGTAGGATTCCCCGCGTTTCTCCTAGAGCAGGAATTCTCGTCACCCCCTGGGCTGGTGCATGGCTGTCACCTTCCATTGCTCTAATCTTAGCTTTTCCCCTCTTCATGTCTGCACCCTAGAGTTGTGTGGCGGGTGGGTTGGGGAGGAGCAACCTTTTTCATCCTCCCTCTGCGTCTCACAGCTGAGAAAGGCACCTTGGGGAGGTAGAAGGGGGGGGACGGTGGTTTGTCTTTTGCCTTCCCCGAGGCAATAGGAACAGAAGGTCACTGAAGGGAACAGAAAGAGACTAAAACGAGGGGGACGCATTTCTCGAGGCGGTGTCAGTCTCAGAATGCGTGAGGTCAAGGTCCCTAGGGGAACTCGCATGTTTTTCCTTTCTTGATTTCTCGGGGCGAAGGGGGGTGGTATGTAGCTCTTAACCCCTCTTTGGTTGTGGAAGGCAGGAAGAATTATTTGGAGGTTATTTTGGGGCCTTCTGAAGTCAATCAGGTAGTTGTGCGATTGTGGCCTGAGTACCCTTCTCAGGACTTCTTGGAACTGAACAGAGCCTGGGGATAGAGCATACCTGTTTGGAGTCTTGCAGGGTTAGTTGACCTGTAACTGCCTTCAGACTAGTTTCTAGAGTCCTTTCCCACTGTGCTTTATCCTGGAGGCTACAGACTGTTGTCTAATCTGACAGCGTGCCAGTGGCCTGCCTAGGCAGGTGACCCTTGGAGGGCTTCACTGAATCAAGCTTATTTTGAGCTTCTGATTTTCCTCTTTCATCAATCCTGATTTTTATTTTAACGCAATAATTTATTCATATTAATTTGTCATCCTACCATCCCCTCCCCCCAAATATCCTCTTAAAAAAGCCTACTTCAGTCTCTTGTTTCATCAAGGAAGATGTGATTTGACATGACACTAATTAATTAGTAATCTCTTGGGCATCTTATCATTGAAGGCAGTTTTATTTACTTTCCTTCCGTGGTATAACATACATAATGGATTCTTGCTAAAAATAAAAATTCTTAATATTCAGGATACGAGTAAAATAATTTCCTCATTTTTTTACAGGTATTACCACGTTTGCTTTCACTAGTAAGAAGTTATTTTCCTTTAAGTCTTGAAATGTAAAAAATAAATATTTACATATAAAGCTAGTTAAATGCAATTTTCTGCAGTTATCTTTGGTTTTCAAAGAACTCATCTGACCTTGGCCATAAAAATAATATCTTAGAAAAGGTTAGAAAATGTTGAGTGCCAGTGAATGTGGAGAAGTTCCTTTGCACTCAGGTTTAATTGTGTGGTTACCCGTTAGAATGCACTGGTAAATGGATGTGGAAGGTACTGTGACGGGAGAGGATGGGATGGGGTTGTTAGCACACTAAAGTGTATCTGAAACACTTTCTGCAAACACTTGTATGTAAATCATGCAAGAGAAGCAGGTACAGCTGCTAATTATTTTATATGGCATTGGTTTGAATAATAGCTGTTCATTTGTGTTAAAGAATAGGCAAGAATTGTAAAATGGGCCCAAAGATTTTGCAAAGTAAAGACAGATTTAATACAGGTGTCGTTAGAAGTTTCTGAAAATAACATGAGTGAAACTCTTCCCTTCTCAGATAATTTGATAAAACAGCTTTGCAAGTATACTTGCAAATTTTAGGCATTCATTTTTTGGAGTGCTAGGTCATGCCTGAACTTAAGCTTGGCTCATATAACTAAGCTCTGATAGATAGTGCTTAGTTGCACTATCTGTGTCCAAATCAATCTTGTGACTTCACATTTTTATCACCTCCATTTGTAAAAATTAATAAAAATTATTTTAATTGGCATCTTAGGTCTTTGACCTCTGAGCCTCTACCAGTTTGCTAAGTAGCCAAAAATGTGCTGAAACACTTTGGATAAAAACTGGAAACAAGAAATGAGGAACTTGAGTGCAGAGTTAGCTTGTGAAACTTCAAAAAGTGAACTGTAAATGAATTTATTTTTATACCCCCTACCTACATTGTCAAACTGAGCAATCTGCCATCAAGACTTGGAACTATATCAAATGAGTATGAATGTTTTAAGTTATGAAGGATTCTTTTTCTCTTTTTCTGTTGTGGTAACTAAGTGCCTGTTTTGGCAAGGCATTGCCAGAGCTCAGATTCTGAACAAACCTAGGCTAGTTATAAAATATTGCCTGCAGTTCTCAATTCTTGGCATATTAAGTGTCCTTATGCCAATTGGCACATTCTTTTGTGTCCCTGCGTGCTTTGGGTTTTCAATTAAGTATCTCTCCATCCTGTTCTTTTACCTTTGATCCATAATGCAGACGTGGAATGTGTTGAGTAGTAGGGGTTCTTGCTAAGGTTATTTTGATTGGGAAAGAAAAGCAGGGTTTTCCTGGGATATGTATATATGTAGGTAGACTGCCTGGAAGAGACACACTACCTGGAATTACACTGCAGTCTACCCTGGGAGTAGTTTCCAAGCTTAAGGTGTATTTTAGTTTTCATAACTTTCTTAAAAAAACAGCTTACTCAGCAAAGCTTAAAAGGAGTATGGCTAACTTCAGTGAAAATACTTTTATACTGATTAGGAAGTCATTCGAGACAGAACTGTTTATGGATAGATAGAACTACAAACATTTTTAGTGTGCAGTGAAACTTGTGATTTACAGGACTCTTGATAGTTGTTAGAACAATTGTTTCTGATCATAGTTGACATTTGTACCTTGATTTTTAAAAGATTCCAGTTATATTTTGTTCTCAGCTTTACAAAATTATTCTTAAATGCATGTATTCAACCTTATGCAATATTTGAATTATATTTAAGACTTTTTTTTTCCCCTTGGTTAGTGATGTGGCTTCTCAGTTACTGTCCAGTAGAATTTTTGTCAGTGGCGGAAATGTGTTACAAGCTACATAGGGTCATTGAGCACTTGAAATGTGACTAGTGTGACTGAGAACCTAAAATTTTGCTTTTATTTCTTTTTAATATATTTAAATGTAAACAGCTACACATGACTATTGAGTAACTACATTAAACTGCATGATGAATTATAGGCCATACTGATGTGCTTCGTAGGATTGAATATTTATCTGACCATCATATTTATATGCTTAAAACATTTGTTAGCTAAAATTAGAACACTCATTATCCAAAAGTATTAGTTGAAAACTGTCTCTTTAAGGAAAGTGGTGATGATAAATGGAGAGAACAGATTTCTTGAGAACCTGTGAGATGCTATACATGTGGGTGTGTAGGTAATTTCCAGTTTTCACTTATTAACTCCTCTACCCCCTTCCTTTCTTAATCTGATACAGTAAGACTCAAAGTGTAGTGTCCAGGGACCATTGTATCAGAGTGGGATTTGTAGCTGGGTCTTCTGACAAAGAAGTGGAATGATTATGATTGTTTCAATTGCTTTTTTTTTTTAAAGAAGGGTCTCACTGTGTAGCCCAGGCCGGCCTTGAACTTGTGATACATGCCATGCTCCCAGGGATTGCCTTTAAGTTATATAGCATCCTATTGTACTTTTTTTTCTGTTAGACTTTGGCCTAGAAAGAGTTCTCTGCTTGTTTAAAAATATAACTAATGGTGTGGTATAATGGACAAACGAGGGGCCTGGGGGGTTGGTAACTCATTATGATACCCAAAATATCATCATTTCAACAGGTAAATGAGCTACTTTACAGTTTTTGTACTAAAATTTCAAAGTCTAGTGTAATCCTAGCAATCCCAGCACTCTGGAGGCTGAGACAAGAGGATGAAGAGTTCAAGGGCAGCCTGGGCTATATAGCAAGACCCTGTCTCAAAAAACAACAAAACTATTCTAAAAACAGACTGATACTGAAAAGTGTGTATTAAAGAAACCATAGCATAAATAGGAACAACCGTGGTACATTTTGCCGTTAAATTACACAGACCATTTACCAAATGAGGCACCTTGCCAAATTGAACTGTAAGTTAACTAACTATAACTTCAGCTTCCCCGTCTATTAAAAAAGGTTAACCCTACTTACCCAAAGTGGTTCTCTTGCTAATAAAATGAGATAATCAACAAAAAATATTTTAATGGTTTTTAGCACAGTAGATACTTATATAGATACAATACTCAGTGTATTTGGATTTTGTCAGCTACGTTCCAGTACGATTAAAATTTGATGGTTATTCCATTGAAGGTAGGACGAAATATCTGGTTATGTCTTCAACAGTGCAAAAGAAGACACTCGTAAAATCCATGTTTAAAAGATATGTTTGTATAATGTATTCAGATCCAGGTTTCCAGCCATCCCTTCAGGTTAAGAGCGTTAGCCACAGGGGTAGGAGTGGGGGTTGAGATGGAAAACCTAGAGCTATAAACTTTGCTAATTAATAACTGATAATTGTTTCAATTATTGGAAAACTTAAGAGTGTTAGAATAACTGAGTTATGCAAATCTGCTTTTCCAACTGTAAGTTTTATGAACTCTGAATACAGCTCAGCCATTTCCAATGGAAATAGGGTCTGATCTACACTGTACTGTAATGTGCTGGCCACTAGGGCAGCACAATAGTTTTATATGATGAGCAAAGTGGGGCCAGTAAACCAACGTTTGGCTTTTGTTTATGCCTTAAATGACTATGTAGATGGTATCTTTGCAAAGGGTTTTATCTGAATTCCAAGTGATAAATTGTGCAAAAATGGTGGGGATCAAGTTAACTTGTAACT